AAAAAAAAAAAAAAAAAAAACAAGAACAAGGCTAGGATATCTCGTAGGAAGAGGCACAGACGGGACAAGCAAAGAAAAAGCGAAAAAGAGAGGAATGGCACGAGCGCGCGTCTCGTCTCTCAGCTGGAGGTTTCCCTGGACCCTATAGATCGCTAGGGGAAAAATATCAGTTGCCATGGAAATTTCACTTAAATGGGACAAACGAGATTGTAGGTTAGTCGATGATTTTGATCTCTTCAATTTCGTTCGATTTTTTTTTTTTTAGAAACATTATGCATTATGAAAAATAGAGTACAAGAGAATCATAGAAAAACAAAATGGAGGAAGGAATTATTTTGCAACTTGAATTAACTTTGTAAAATTTATTTCGCTTGTAATGGTCGTTCTTAAGTGAAGTAATTCATGACTGACATAGTTAAAAGTCGATATAGATCTATTATGATCGATGTTTCCTCTTTATTTTATTTCGACTCCTAATATTTAATACAAAACGTTAATATATTATATTTTTGCTCGATTAGAAAGAAATTTTTAAACGTTTCAACTATATATCTATTATTATCGCTACGAAAAAGTGTCACATTATAGATATTCGTAATACAGCCAGCGAATTAAATTGCAATTAAATTTGACCTTTTTCGACGACTATTTCGCATTATGGGAATTTTATACGAGCAAAATGAAACGTTCCATATAAGAGTGTTAATACTGTTAAAAGCAGTTAATGACAGTATCCTTTCATAAAGCCCAATTACATTATAGTTGCTATACACGTGCACACATATACATATTCCATATTCCAAGTACAAACGTAACATTTTATTAGTTTCGCAAAAAAAGAAGACGAAGAAGAAGAAGAAGAAGAAGAAAAAGAAAAACACTCAAAAACTTGTTTCGTATAATCAAGCACAGTTCGTTGACTCATATAATTACATCCTCTTTTCAGATGAAACTTTATTAACTCCATATTTCTTCTCTTCGAATTTTCCATCCTTCCTCTTTCAAAACTAAAGACTATAAATCTATATATTCGTATATACAATTTCTTAATTTACATCACAAAAAAATTCCAGAATTTAAACGCCCCTATCACAATATCGTATAATAAACAACTAACCACCTGTTAATTGCCACGTCTTCCGTATAAATTACAAGGGAAATAAATTATGTATGAAAAAAATTGATTAATAACAACGCCCAAATTACTCTCTACTACTATATTTTATTGCATATTAAATCCATTAATTATTCCACGTTATCCAACGTGTACGCCCGCGAGATGAATTTATCTCATTCCTCCCCATATAATAATAATAATAATAATAATAATAATAATAATAATAATAATAATAATAACAAGAAGCTTCATTCGTTGCTCGCAAAATTGTTCGCGCATTTAAACATTTTTCTTTTAAAACGGTGCAATTTTCATCCCGATATTTAATAAAAACACCGAATAAAAACATTATCCCGAAATCGAGGCCGCCCTTAAAACGCATCGCCGCGAAGAGGATTGGGGGAAATTCAACGAGCTCGAGGAACGAGGGCGGCGAAATTGAAAGGCAATTACGAAAGCGAAAAATCGAAAAAAAAAAAAAAAAAAAAAAAACGGTGTGTGACAGGTCGCCTTCCCCCTCTCCCCCTCTACCCACATCGACAGATATAAAATTTTATGGGTCGTGAAAAAAATTCAATCGATACGAACGGTCTTTTTGGCTATCTATTCGAATAAAACTGCCAACGGCAAGCTGACAGCCAATGAATGCTCGTGGTACAAAGCTCGTGCTGCCTCTATTAATTAGAAAAAATGCCGTTTGTGGCCAATGTGGCGAAAACGCGGAGACGGAAAAAAAAAGGAAAATCATCGGGGAGTCGGGTTACGCGGTCTTTCTCTCT